TGTGTTGATTCTTTATATGCAATGCAGGCACAAATTAAGCTTTCTCCATACTTATATTCATCATTCAGCAGTGACTAACCCTTTGTCCCTCCGGAGAATCTTTATCTTTAAATATGCTGATGATGGTTCCACGTCAAACCAGTCTGATGTGCAATTATTTTCTGCCAATCTAGCACCAGCGAAGATATTTTCAAACCGGTCTTTTTTCCAGCTGAATGCTTCTATATGTATCGAATACGTTCTGCGATCTGAGTATCCCTTGAAATGCCTAATAATCACCCCATTATCTATTGCCAGAACACATCACACAATATCCAGCAGTCACCATAGAAAACAATCTGCGATGATCTTCCCCTGTGCAAACCTGGGTTTGGCAAACTGTGTCGCTTATCCTTCCAGATACGCAAACAAAGACGATTCCGAGTGAAATATTCGACTTAATATTCATTTGTTTATCAGACTAGATTTCTTAACATACATAACTGTTCCGCTGTGATTTTTCCTGGTCTACTTAAAAAGATATCATCATTCCCATCTTGATATGGAGAGAAAACAGTGGGTTTATTTTAGCGAACAAGCTCGTTTTCGACAACTTCGTCAGGTTAATACAGTTATATAGTCAAATTAAAATTAAAATGTGCTTCAATATCAACGTGTGATTCGTCGTGACCTTTCCTATGACCCCGCGACCCAAACACGTGATGACACGTCCACATCATTTTCCCAACCGTGTTATGAACACATCCTCCCTTCCCGCCCATTCCCAACCACACATCCAAACAATCGCAAACGACGAATCACACGTGGATATCATTATCCTTCGCCATGGCATTGGAAATTATTCTCGCTGTTTCTCTCAGTCTTAGAAACACTAAGTATGCCATTACAACGCAATGAATATAACTATACCTTTCAACTTCAAGCGAATCTGTTGTAAATTTAAGTGAATTCAACCAATCGCATTCCACTGGGAACCCCAGAAGATGATTGGTGTTGCGGCCGTCAAACGTCACCGATTGGACCGGGTCTGTCTAAGCCCCGTCCAGTCCGAATGAACTAATTTCTCCGTANNNCCCCCCCCCCCCTCAAACACACACACACAAAGCCGTTTCACTCGGGAACGTTATCGTCGCGATCGTTGATTGAGTGTGCATCATGGGTACGAATGAACGAACCCAGAGTTAATAGACCTCTGTCGATCGGGTAAGGAAGCGAATCATGCCAAGATAGATCGATAAGTCGGTCACCATACCCAGACGTGAATGTGAGCATGATTCATTGCCTGGGTGGAGTCAATCTAAGCCCTCAATAACCCAATGAGTAAATTCTATTGCGACAGAGGTTCTCTCGAATAAAACCGATTCCTTTGAATCAAATGCGATTTCTTACGTATTTCTGACATTGAAAGGCACACTTGACAATGGTAACAACGGTGAAAGCTGTAAGAGTATTTCACCTGAATAGTAGGAAGCTATTCACTGGCTAACAGAAATCATATTTTTTCTTTCATTCCCTGGCTTATTATTACATTCAATCCACAATACCAATGGCAACAATCTGTTACCTGCGGCTCTTCCCTTCGCTACTCAGCTTCATTGCACAGGTTCTTATCTTTGTCTCATCATTGTTCAACTACCTGCAATGAGCTCAAGCAAACGGGCATTGGGTATGTTGTTCACTAACCTAGTTCCAAGGCTTGGGTTGTCGATTCTGACTGCCCCAACAGAAGATCATTGTGATCATCGGTTCACACCACCATGTGTGATTAGGAAATACGAACACATGAAAGCTCTATCTCTGTTATTTCGTTGCGGTAGACTTTGCATAAGGCTAGCACAGCTATGCCTACATTTCAGTCAAAAATTGTGCTCGCTGTGATGTCGGGACGGTATTGATGAAGATGTCATACACCATAATGATAGAACGTAAACAAAGTGGTTCACTTTTGTAGGTTAGGATTAGTTCGTGCACTTAAATGAAGTCCTGTTAAATTACAATATTTTTCTTATCCTTGGGGCTAAGCAGCGAAAGTTGGGTCTGGTTATAGCATTCTCATTCAGGGTAACGTTGTGTTCACATGATTGGTTTCGTCCCTGACAGGGTTTGAGGTTGGCTTCGTGAAGAAAAGGAACACTTAACCTTCTGAAAATTTCGTCGCATGAATCGCCTGAATACCGGATTTTAAATGATCGTTCTCCTAATAGCATTTCTCGACTAGGCAGTGATCTCACTGGCGACTAAATATAACATAGGTGGCAGTGTATAGGGACTCATTCATCGCACAGAAAACACGTTTAGCTACAGGAAAGAGGAAGATGAGAAAATGCACATAAACAACGGTTGCTTGATCTCATCAAGATCAACTATTTTGATTGTCTCTAGATCCTGACGAATCACCTGTATCGAGTTATATTTGATTTGTCTGGCTGCCCAAGACTAATTCAGTTTTCCGAGGTACCAGAACTCACTGACAGAATTTTCTCTTGAAAATTATATACTGTAAAAAGCCTGAAACCGTGACTAAATGCCGGGAAACCAGCACATGATTCAAACACATACACACATCTCAACGATATTGTCAAATTAGTCATAGCAGGAGCTGAGAATTCTTACATTCTAGGGAAATTTTGCTGGTATGACCTGATCTATATCCGTATGCCTACCCCAGATATGCGATGAATTGTTGACGATTTCTAAGTCACCATGTGACCGTTTGCAATATACTTCACGGTATGCCACGTAGTAGGAGAATATTCACATCCACGGTAACCCAATGTGCAGTGAAAAATGCTGCCCTTCAGTTGACGAGAAACAATCACAGTTTTTGAAAGTTATTTGGTAATCAAACAAAAACTATTCAGATATACGCACAATTCTGTCAGCGAATACACTCTCCCCCTCCCCAAGGGAAGTCCCTCGTTCAGAAATTATTCGGCGACACACAATGGACCCGTCAAATTTCAGACACAAGTGAATTTACCAGGCGATGTGCACTGCAAACATATAACTGAGCGATTACACTCGATTTTCGAAACGCAACAATAAATTTTCGCCATTACGGTGGCGTACCCGTAGAAATTAATCGTCTAAATTTTAAAACAAAACAGAATGGCGAACGAGCCCATTTTCAAAGATTCGCAATAATGCCAATACATCTCAATATATCACTACTTGGGAAAATAAAATAAAATAACAGATTACTAGAAATGATTTCATCATAATACCGGAAATCGGGATCATCATGATCACATATTTGTTTGTGCAGTCGTCTGATCATCGAGATTACTCGTGATACGGTGTGGGGGTATGGACCAGGGAAGCTTTAGCGATTGCACAAATTGTTTTTGGGCACACAGAGGGGGATGGTGCAGACAAATGTCCACTGCTTCTGCCGAAGCCGGAATCCGACAGCGAACCTGCCTCAATAATTGCCCATGAACTTTATACAGCGGTCGGAAAACCTCGACACGTCCACAGTGTGATTTGTTTTAGCTAGGTGTAAAACCAATGCACTTAATTGTTCCGGTGTTTAGCCACACAGGGCGGTGTTCACGAACCCGTTCGGTCCATCATAAGCTTCCTCTATCTCGGTTGGTTCTAATTGTCCTGTGGGAGAATGGTTAATGCGGTATAGCAAAGATGTGTGCACGAAAAGCCTTCGGTCACGTCCGGTAAACCTGCTCAACCCCATACGAATCGAATCGTCAGTCTAACTACCGCAATCTTTGATTGTAGACTGTATAGTATAGAATGAGTCGTGCGTACGAATGTATAGACTAATAGACTGGGTCGTAATCTTCACATACTGACACATCACTCACGAAATCGAGTTCGCCGTGAAACACGCTATATAGTGGAAATCATTCAAGGTCGCCCAGGAACAAATCCATACTTGAAGGATCCCTCGAAAGCCTAAAACGACGTCACCAGAAGTGAACATGGTGACATGGATCAGAGATAGCCTAAAAAGCCAAATGTTCGCATTGAGAGTGACAGAAACCGTATAACTAGTCGGACGCATAACAGGGTGTCACAAATATCAATCCTTAGACTTGCTCTTCATGCTAAACGCGGATGAGTTAGGCTGCAACTTGAAGATTCTGTGCTTCGAGTTTACCGATGATTTAAAAACTCTTAAAGTATTAAACAGAGAAATATGTCAATCTACTGGAGGATAGATCTCTCAAGGCGTCAAGAAGCCCCGGACATGAAAGAAGGAATAGGACGACAGAACGCAGCAGTGTGTATAACAGAGACTAGATTCCAAATGATACACGCGAACGAGCAGACAAAACGTTGAGACTTCTGTGGGGAACACACTTCCAATTTTGACGGGATACTGCACGGAAAGCGTTTCATCCCAGGAGTTGATAGTTCATTGGCATTTTCTCTCGGAATTAATCGATTGGTTACTTTTGTAATGGAATACACTTGTTCGTTATGGCGTGAGACCGAAGGCTCAAGTTTGTGCAAAATCAATAAAACATCAACCAGTCAGATGCAATATAACCTAAATCTCTGTAGAGACATCGCATCATAAGGATGCGAGATTTAGTATGTCTGATGAAGAGACTATGTATTCCTAAGGGTACGCAATTTCATATCATGAAGCAAATAATGTATTTGTTTATCGAAAGAACTTATGACTTGCACCTGTGGCACAACGGATACATACAAATGGTGTTACAACCTCCTCTCCGTCTCCCATTCATGCAGATTCATTACCGCCAACCACTGGAGTTGTTTAAAAACAATTATTGTAACTAAAATTAATGAGTGCAAAACCGACAACTTTCATTTAAAGTGAACTGTACAGTCGAAAGTTAAAACAATGTGATGGAAACAACTGTTGGAAACCCTACTTTTCAGAAAAAGACCCTCTCTTCCTCTGTCTTTAAAATCTGTTTAGGATCAATCAGACCAGGTGCAATTGGCTGAGAGCTAACAGGAAGCAAAGAATGACAGGAGGGGGCAGTGATGGAACAAATGTTCGTAGTCGTTCACAATACGGATTCCGGATGAACTGGCATCGACACGTGATTATCCTTGACCTGAGGATCGTGACCGGGCGTGGCGTTTTCTGGTATGATAGGGCTAAAAACGAAAGAGAGATGGGGAATAGAAAAAAAAAACAATGAATGAGACTCCGAAACGACAAACGGAGAGAGAACATCGACAAATGGAATACGGTAATGATTACGGTCGTATTCAGATGAGGAACTTAAACCACGAGTGCATGACCTATTTCACGTGGTATTACATACGAACAAAATGAATACTACTGATCCATGACCTGCTGTGTTTGCGCATAAAACAGAAACTTGCATTTAAGCTAATTAATGTCATAGTTATTGTCTTTTTCTTCTTTCTTCTTTTTTGAATAAATAATGGTACAGTTTTCAGGAAGGGGAAACGGGTCAATCAAAGGGCTGTCATACAAAATATAGTGGGAAAAGTCAGGCGGTGGGATTCAACCACATCCTCCGGAGTGATAATTTGGTGACGCTACCACAGGGCCACCACCGCGATTGTCAAGTGAATTCCCGTGTCCTTGAAACTCCATAATAAAACAACGACGACACAATTCCGAGCTTATGTTTTATTAAACAACATCCTACGTTGAACGGTAAAAGGGGTGGGCTCCATAGTCACAAAAACGAACCGTTCGGTTATTGGAAGCGTTCCTAATGACCATTCGAATACAAGAGCAGAGGGAAGAATGGACTGCTGCAAGCAGAGTCAAAGAAGATAACGAGTAGATGCACGACCGCCACTGTTTCCCACACTAATCACCGATTACCATGATCACACACCGTGGCAACCCAGTGGACGACCCCGGCTACCTAAAACGTTGAGCCTAACCTCAGCATTGCTTGTCCGATTTCCCCACAAGACTCGTACAATCCGGCGTAGACCGCGGTGTTCGAACACGATTCAAGAAATAAAATACGGATGCCCCATATTTTTGTGTAATTACATGAGATTTAGTCTCCGGGTTCACTAGAAATAACAACATCCACTAGAAAGCGAATTTAGGGATATCAGCGGGGAATTTTCTAGCCATGTCCGTTCAATTATATTGGCTCTTCACCTGCGATACAGTCTATCTGCAATACACGGGACAAATAAAACCTCCTGCTGACAAGTTTCTTGATTAACTGGAATGGGAACAATGGGCAGATCAGAGAAGATTATCGAAGAACAGAAGTTAACCAGAGAACCACAAAACAACCTTTTACCGATACCGGGTGGTGGTGGCCCGGTGGTAACGTCAACAAAGTATCACCCCGGAGATGTGTTCAAATCCCACCACCACCGCCTGACTTTCTCCATTGTGTGTTGAAACGGCAGCCCTTTGATTGGCGGCTTACCCTTCCTGAAAATTGTATCTTTGTATATTCAATAAAAGAAAGTAAACAAATGAAAAAATGAAATGAAAAAACCGAAATTCCATAGTCGTGACCCTTAGTCCTGTAAGCTTGACTAAAAATCTTCAGTCACACTTCTGTGAGTTAGATGAAAGAGTATCGGAATATTTTGAGATCGACGAATACTACGAAGCTATATCTTTTTACAAAGATATACGGTGCGAAGCTTGATGAAAAAAAACGAAGAGTGGCGATCAGGTGCCCGTAGGTAACTGTCACAATGGTGTCCAATATGGCAATGTGAATAAACTGATGACGGGAATGGGGGTGTACAGCGTTCATTATCCTCGGACTGTTAACGTATCTACATGGCAGTAAGCTATTGGCGTGAGTCAGTAAGGAATTGCAGACCTTATTGAACCACCTGCGTTGGGTCTGATCACGCACTAGTTCTGTCGAGCTTCACACTTCGACTCAAGGTCAGTTAGCACATTATCGACTGCGCGATCCATCTGGGAGCAAATCAAGGAAGCTATGCAGACATCGATAAAAACAACGTCAGACCCTGCCACAAGCTCAAAACACAAACGATGGATATCATCGACCTCGGCTGCCCGCAGAACCCTTGCTTCTAATGCCACACGAGACAGCGCGCAAATCCCGTAAACGCCAGCTCATCAAGAGTCTGAGGAATGACCGCGAGAAGTGGTGGGTAGAAGAGTGTAAAGAGATGGAGAAAGCTGCTGGCAATAGTCGTAATCTTTTCCAACTAAATACGAATACGGGCCCTAGGAAGATAGGTGTAAGTGAGGTAATTAAGGAATCCGATGGCACACTGATTCACGATCAGCAACGCTGTCTTGACCGTTGAGCTGAACACTTCAAGGCTCAGTTCAACTGGCCCCCATCGACATCTTATCTTTCACTCTCCGCCTCGACTGTACAAATACTCCCAGTTGATGCTGGTCCTCCATCTGAAATGGAGGTTTCTCGGGAAATAAGCTATCTCAAAAGGCATAAGGCGTCTGGTCCAGATGGGCTGATCCCATCAGCGTATAAGGATGGAGGCTCAGCGTGAGTCTTGGAGTTGACAAAACTCCTGGTTTCAATATGGGAAAGGGAAGAGGTTCCAGCTGAATGGTGTGAATCGGTGATCACACCGATTTACAAGAAAGGTGATAGATCCTCTTGTGCAAACCACAGGGGAATTACTTAATTAACATTGCCTCTAAACTTCTCGCTGGCATCATATTCCGCCGATTATCTGCCTTACGTTAACGGTGCACGCATGTGAACCAGGCTGGTTTCAGACCCAGTTGAGGTTGTATCGACCACATCTTCACTCTGCGCCGAATTTTGGAGCATCCACAGTCTATTCGTAGACCCACCATCTCTGTCTTCCTAGATCTGAAAGCGGCTTTCGACTAGGTCGAACGCTCTAAACTCTAGCGCTGCCTTTTTTGAAAGGTGTGCCCGAGAAGTTAGTTTCAATATTACGATCACTTTATACTAATAGCCGAAGTCGAGTCCGGGATTACGGCACTCTTTTGCACGAGTTCACCACGGGAAAAGGTGTTCTTCAGGGTTACCCTCTCTCTCCATTCTTTTTAACTTTGTTATAGATCTGATTATGGAAACAGCTCTATCCTCGTGCGAGGATAGTGGCATCGATTCACTTCCAGGTGGCAGACTGTCCGATCTAGAGTACGCAGACGACATTGTGCTGCTAAGTGAAGATCCAGGTAAGTTGCAAGCATTTCTAGATAACTTGAATGTCACCGTAGCCATATTCGGTATACGTTTTGCACATTCAAAGTGTAAAGTGTTAATACAAGACTGGGTCGGTCCAGCGCCGAGCCTTACTCTAACTGGGGAAATAATAGAGCAGATGGATAAGTTTTGTTATTTCGGCAGCTACATCTCACCCGGCGGACGCATCACGGATGAAGTGTCTGCTCGCATACATAAGGCTCAGTTGGTATTTGCTAACTTGAGACATCTGCGGTGCCGTCGCGACATCTGGCTGTCTGCGAAGAGTTGAGTGTATGCCGCGACAGTTCGGCCAGTTCTGCTATACGGTGCAGAAACTTGGCCATTGAGAAAACACGACAAAGATAGACTGTCGGTGTTTGAACACTGCTGTCTACGCAGCATTGCACGAACCTGGTAGTCCAGCCGGATGAGCAATGCTGAGGTCAGGGGCTGAGTTTTGGATATTCGCGGTCACTCACCAGAGCAAGTGGTCGACCTCCATAGATTACGTTTTTTGCGACATGTGTTACGCATGTCACCAGATAGGTTACCACCGCGAGCGATGTTCGCCGAAGCAGATACCGAGTGGAAAAAGGCCAACGGTGGTCAAGCTAAGACCTGGCACGAGGGTATGAAAACCTCACCCAAGAGACTGGGTCACATAGGTCCTGTTAGGCTCCTTGGTTGGGGACCTCGGGATGATCGTACCCGAGCGTTAGAGACAATGAGTGATATGGCTGGGTGTCGTAAACAGTGGCTTTCGTGCATCTTCTCAATTCCTTTCCAACATTAGACCACTGAACTTCTTCATTTTTTGTTCGATTCCACCTTCAACTTTCATTTCTTCTCCAACTGTTCACCCAAATGGGCAGCAAAAAGATAGCAACAAAAACCGGCGCACGAATATGCGTCGTTAAAGGTTGTACAAACTGAAACTAATAAATTTCACGCAAAAGTATCTCAGGTAAGCCTCATTCAAAAATATTACATATTCACCAATACGGCACTGACCTCAGAATGCTGTTTCCTCAACATTGTCATGGTGAAAATAGCCGGAAGATAGCAACTCAAACCGTCGCACCAAAATGCATGGTTAATGGTTGTAAAAACTGAACTGAATTGAGTCAAATGTATAGATTCAACAAGACTGATGTTTCCAATTTTTTCCAAAAACCAGGCCATAACAAGATTGAACAAGCTCCAAAGATACCTTCACATAGAGTTGAAAAGAAAAACTTGGTTCTGAGTATTCCGATAATAATAGAATGAGGCATCCTTCGAGTAAGACCACTTTAGACAAGAAACACGTGCTGACAAAAACAGAATTAGACCACAATGCTGTCATGATTCACTGTCTTTGAGAAAGTGAGCACTGAATGTATAGTAAAAAATAACATCGAATGTCCACTAAACCGGTGATACCAACGTGTTTCAGGTCCCGTCATTCTCGTTTGGGGTCAAATCACAAGATAGATTGCCAAGCCGGACGACGCTTACCGAGGCAGGAAGCAGATCAAGAGCAACCAAAAAGAGACATGGCATGACGGCATGAAAACCCTAAACAGTTGACTGGGTCACCAACTAAATCACATTTCGAGAAAGCTAAACGACAGTGGGGAAAACCTGTTGAACGTTGTAAACGAGTTAGTATTTTAGCCGGATTGTTTTGATCCCTAACATAGATATAAAGGTTTACATGACAAACAAATTCGTGAAAACAGAACTCGTTTAATCTACGTCGAATGATAAAAAAATATCGAAAGAATACTGTTCAATACTGTATAGCTTTTGAGCAGTATTATGAGTGGTTACATAACCAACGATCTGATTGGACAAGAATGAGTGTGCTGAAAATGTCACTTCGTAAATTCATAAAGCATTTGGAGAAGAGATGCTCAACTCGGTGAAAAAGAATAAAGATAAACAAAACCAAAGTAGCCAATTTATGCTACTCCGTTAAATTTCTTGTCCTTTTTAGTTTATCCGGTACTATACAGTATTTAGGGCGCGTCTGTACGGGCCAAAAGTTCTGCCCTTCTATCCAAATGGGTGACCTGAAGATAGCAACTCAAACCGTCGCACCAAAATGCATGGTTAATGGTTGTAAAAACTGAACTGAATTGAGTCAAATGTATAGATTCAACAAGACTGATGTTTCCAATTTTTTCCAAAAACCAGGCCATAACAAGATTGAACAAGCTCCAAAGATACCTTCACATAGAGTTGAAAAGAAAAACTTGGTTCTGAGTATTCCTCTTAAAGGTGAGGACGTATCGGAAGATCGCATAACATGCTTAAACAAAACAATAAGAGTGACAGTCCATGGTGCGCACACACATTACGTTTCTAAAGGTTTGCTACTAATAACTAGATAGAATGAAAATCGACTGCCGTTAATGCTTTATGCAATCGTTGTTTACTCATTCACGTCGCACATTGCTCACGTAGTCGTTCAAGCCTCAATATAAAGACTCTTAGCTTCATAGCGTAACCGGTAGTCCCGGGAAATACGCCTTTAGGCGTAGTTGGTTAGTTTCGTTCTTCGACAACTTGTACTACGTGACTCGTCTCTTTTAGGTAATCCATACATTGGCCAACAAGCTGCCCTGGTTAGAATCCTCGAAACTTTCAATGTAGATGTATGTTGTGTTTCAGAAACACGCATACAAGACCCCATTTCCATTATCTATCTGCGTTCTCCTGATCCAACCCCAACCTCACGCTTCACCCTTCGTGTATCAGGCGATTCGGCATCCGAAGCTCGAGATGTTGCTGGTGTCGGGATTGCGCTAAGTGACAAGGCTGAGCGCTCGCTTCTTGACTGGATTCCAGTCAGTAGCCGATTGTGCACTGTACGTCTCAACGGTTCAGTTCGAGTCAACAGCTACAGAACGAAGCGTCGATGCTTATTCGTCGTATCGGCGTATGCACCCACCGATTGCAGTACACCTGAAATCAAGGATGAATTCTACAAGGATCTTTCTCAACTACTCCAACGTGCTCGATCAACGGACATCGCAGTAGTCGCCGGAGACTTCAATGCTCAAGTGGGATCCCTGGACGAATCAGAAAGGCTTCCTGGCGGACCACATGCAATCGTAGCCAACCGGACGGACAACGGAGATCGCCTACTTCAACTCTGCACGGACCACGGATTGTTCCTGTCAAACACGAACTTATCGCACAATAGGGGTTACCCAGGTACTGCGTGTTAATGCTTACGACTTTTACATAGAGGCCTATCTTTCTTCGCAAGATCCATTTCTACAATAAATCTGCTCGGATTCTCAGAACTGGTTTATGGATTCTGTTATTCGTTATTATCATTCTCACTGCTGGATGATCCTTTGTCTCTGAGTGGGATATGGAATAAGGGGTAGGAGCGAAGACGGTATATCGAATGGGTGACTTACTCACTCATCTGCTTGGTAAAGAGCTGAAATCAACTTTGTTCATGCACTTGTGTTCTGCCATAAACGTAAACAGGTAAACCGCAAAAGTAAGGGATTCTCATCTACAGGTTTTTCAGTAGTTGAAGGGTCAACAGCTTTGTACTGTCATTACGCAGTGGCGCAGCGCTTCTAGACAGTGGTATTTCGGTCCAACCCCTAATTAAACGGCATAGTTAACTGTCGGAATAGAGGGACTGACGAACGACATAGTGCCTGGGGCGAGGTTGTTTTACTCCTGTTATCCCAAAGACTATCCGATGCACTTTGCAACATGTTTGCGCGCTACAAACACCACCCGAAAAAAGACTCGAGGGATAAAGAAGGTGGTATAGGAGAGCACATAAACACACAAGTGTAAGTCACAGAAAATATTTTTCATCTTTTTCAACGTTATCATTCTAACTTAAGCTTTTAAGCAACAGCACCTCAGGTGGTCAATAAAATTTCCATCGTTATATGGATGCAGAGGTAAAACAATTGGAAAGTTTTTCTTCAATTTTCGATTGGTTGTGCTGTCTAGGGTGAGGCATGAAGACACAAATTAACTTTACCCGTTTCTGTGTACAGCGTGACCGCCCTCTGATTGATTGCTTTCCCCTGGTTGAAAACTGTCTGTACTACCGAGCATTCCCAGGAAGTGAAAGAACACAATGTGAAAAGAGGAAGAGAAACAAAATAAATCAGACTTTCCTGCCAACGTACCTAGACGCGGGGTTGGACTTGGATGACTGCCGTGCTTTGTTAGACCTATTGTTTCGTTGTTTCTCTTCTAGTATGGTTTGTTGAAGCGGTTTCTTTTGGGAAACCACAGTTTGTACATAGTTCAGGAACAACGCCTGATCAACTGACGAAAGCTTTTGCACGATCTCCTGTTTCTCTGCAATCAATGTGGAGAATTCAGCTAGTTGTTGTTTGATTTGCTCCGCGAGATCAGTAACGTGGCGCCTGAGTGCTCGTGTTGTGGGCCGAATCTGCATTCGACGCAGATGTTTTACATAGATGGGAGGATAGATGTCGGTGCGTGTACATTCCATGAAAAACTGCAGCTTCGCCTCGGTCTGTGCCAGTCGAACTTCATAGCGCATCAGACGATTAAGTTCTTTGATCACAGTTGAATCATAATTCGTTCTCAAGGTTCGAAAAGCACACATCCGAAGAGTGATTCAGTTCGTGATCAGTGGCAGACTAATCCGTGAGCTTGACCAGATCATTTCCCTCGTCGGCAATGTTGCTCGCGTTCGGCCAAGGTCAGGTCAGTTAAACTATAGATTCTGACGCCCCCATGCGTGACGCAGTCTAATGGATACAAACGATTAAAGAAGTTCAAGGTCAACAATGATCTGCACTTTTAAGTAACAGACAGAACGCCACGCTTACGGAGCCTACTGACCAAACAATGTTCCGCAGAATGAGAAACACTCTTCAGTGACATTCGATACAAGCAGTGTGGGCGAACATGTTTTCAATGATTTCTCTCACCATCAGATTGAAACTTATACTTGTCAACGAAAGGGGTGAGATAGACTCTGTCAATCGAACCGAGTAGAACGGAGTTGGATTTGAGAGTTGATGATGTAATGACTGCCTTAGTCATTAGTATAGACTGAGAAAATCGTTTTACATCTGTTCGCAAATCACCGAATAAGAAAATGTGAATGTTTGTGAAATATTGTAGGATGAAAACGGGTAATGTAAACATATTATCTTTTACATCTAGCACCAGGCATTTGCACATTTGATTCAACGATGGAAAAGGTGGATATTAGGTATTGCTTACGATGAGCTAGGATAAATAACAGGGTCGATACGTGGACAAAGAATGCCGGGGACTGTGACGGACGGCTTGCGAAAATGATTGTTTCAAGTGGGATTCATACGAGTAAAAAAGGAAACATGTGGGATGTGCATGCAGCATGGGTTTCACGGGAAGCGAGAGGTGGAGTAAATCGACCACAGTGATATTATATAGTCATGAACGTTAGAAAAAAAAAGTTAATCGACACTAGTACAGGTTTCTGCAAACGTGATTGGTCGACCCAATATGGACAGAAGTAAATCAAGGGTGTCTTTCAGCATGATCAGCCACAGGATACGGAATAGTGTACGTGTGTGGAGAGAGCGGGATGGGTGCACTGAATAAATTTGAGCTGATGAGAAAAGTGCTACCCTTATTTATCACTCGGCATCAGTTTGTGAGGGAGTAAACGAATTGGAGATTTCACAGCCACAACCGTGAGCCTGACATCAGAGATATTCCCCTTTTTACCAGTATTGTAACGGTGTTATATTTTGGCTGAAAGCTTGTATGCCACTCGCTAAGGCTTCAATACAATACAATTTATTGCTGTGCTGCAACTCTCTGAAAACCTTAGCGATAAAGTGTTAAATGCGACAAGCACTGCGATAACAGAACTGAATTGTCGCGTCTCGTTATAACTAGATCGCTATGGCTTTATCATGGATGATTATGCAAATTTTAGGCATAAATCACGAATATATATCTGTTCAGATGTAGAGTCGAGTCGGAAATCCGCAAAACAGATATATGCTTGATCTCAGCTGGACCGGAACGCAGCTTGGTGAACAAACCAAGAGATTCCCCTAATGCCGCACAGCGTTTAGCGTGGAGACAACAACTGCGGATCATACGTACCGGAAACGGGGACAAATGAATTAGATCATTCCGTTGAAAGACAATGCTGCAAGAGATTTTTCAAATTCCATATGGTTGTTCGTTCAGCTGGAGTGGATAGTCCGACCAGGGACCGAAGCGCAGCCAAATTTCGATTGAGTAGTGCGATCGCGTGCCGATAGGATGGAACTAGCGAACTCCGAGGCAAGTACAGGGGAAATCTGCAAGATGAAAATGGGATGTAAGCAGGTAAGAACAACAGATAGATTGTATGCATTTTGAACATCAGTCACAATAGCCGCTCAAATGTTAGCGCCAAACCAAAGCTGTGATGTAATAAATCCATTTTCGTCCGCATACAACACTGCCACACATCGGATTTTTATACATCTGCTTGAAGGTGAATTGGTACAGTAACTGAAGCAATTAGTTGTGTTCATTTTGCTTTCCAGTCGAGCTACTGAGCTTTCATGGACTCAATGGCGATGGAATAAATATTTTTGGAGAAACTTAGACAGTACTTTATGGAATAATAGATGGGAAATGTGAAAAGAACATCTGAGAGAAACTAGCACACAGTATGGGTTCAGCTGTGTATGAAGAATATAACATATGAATATGCATTTTTTAAACTGGTTGTGAAAATTTTAATGACAGTTTTGAAACTGTCTGCAGGTGCAGTTGTTTTTGATCCATTCCGTTGCATTAGCTCTCAGTCTTTTAGGTTTCCGATGAGGCAAACGGAAGGTGGAAAAGGAAGGACTAGACCGATTTTAGACGGTACAGATTACGACAGTGGAAGCTTTTCAGTGGAGCACTGGAGCAATGGAATATTTTCAAAAAACAAAAACTGCAGGCATTGCACCTCTAAATGTCTTACGGTTTCTGTGTTGTACATCAGCCCTTTGATTGACCACTTTTCCCTTCCCGAAAATAGTATCATTATCTTTTCGATAAAAAAATCAAATAAAAAGAAAGAGAAAAGTCCGCTTCCATATACTTGTTTGACGCCATGTTCGAAACCGACGATGGAGGGTCAAACAACCATTTTGCATGACTCATCAGGTGCGAGGCATTGAGTTACGTTAAAATAGCCACGGCATGTGGATAAGCTAGACAGGAATATCTTGAGACGAGGACAGAAAACGTGCAACAAAACCAAAGTCAGCAGGGATTTAACAGAGACTCCGAAAAGGACTTACACACGAGCAGTGTCCACGAACTCCGGAGATATCTGATCAGTAACAGTGGAGCGTGAATACCCTTCAGACAGATTAAATGGATGCCTGATGGGCAGATTCAGAATGGCTGATATTAGACATAAAATTTGAGCCACTAGACCCAAGTTCACCGCGGCGGACTCAGTATCCAAATCTTCTGCGGATTGGACTTGCTGATTATCCCAAAGCTTGGAGATCAGACCGTTGATCACAGAGTCATTGTTTTGCGGTACCACTGTACAGTTTTGTTTGCTCCCGATTGCTGGTGGACCTTGCACACACGTGGGCTGGTCAGTTAGAATAACGAAAATTTATGGAAATAAGAGAAGCGAAACAAACAGAC